ACTGTCCCCCAACTAGGAGTTCATGGTCTTTGAACTCCTTCCAGTCTAGTAATCTTTATACCACATTGCTTCGACCCCTCTGCATAGCCTCCCTCAATTCTTTCCTCATTCTCTGCTATGGGGGTTGGAACTCTGGGGCAGCAGGAATAAGCTCATCTGATTGTCCTGTTTTTCTGTCTATCATCCCAAGTCTAAGCTGCTCACCTAAAGCCAATCCTCTGTCCCTGAATACTGTCCTGGGTGCTGAGGTGTGAGGACAGTCTCTATGTCAAAGTGTTGCTTTATGTAAAGCACAAAGACAAGAGGGGGTGATGGACTGATCAGAGCAGAGCTCTGTTGGCCGAGAAAGAATCCTGGAATAAGAGAATGAAACGGGCTCAAAAGATCAGCTCATGGCTGGTCAGAGTCAGCCTCCTGGTAAAGCAAACAGCCTGGGCAAGAGGATGAGAAGAAGGAAACCGGCATTTATGAAGCATCTTCATAGAAAACATACTCACTTCAGTGCTTCTCACATTGGCCCCATTTTACAGTTGATGATACCGAGGCTCACAGAGGTTAAGTGATTTGTCCACTTGGATCAAAGCAATTTCAGGGAATCATGTTGGCCAGTTCAATATGATAGGGAGCAAGGCAATTAACCACCTGACCCTAAAACCCAGAGCTAGGAAGTTCAAATTCTCAGCAACTGGAAATTGAGAGCCAGAGTCTACCTGAACTCCAAGGTGGGAAAGTAGGAGAGTAGAGGGTTAGGAGGGGATGAGGAGTGGGGGTCAGAGGATGTACAAGGAGGCTAAGCTGGGTCTCTCCCTCCCCATTCCAGGTTCCCTCTGTTCATGGCTGTGTACAGAATATGCTACGAGAGCCAGCCCGTGGGTGAATTCATCCGCTGCCTGCAGAATCATCCAGAACATCTGTGAGCAGGGCTGTGGCCCAGGCCAGGCAGTTTCTTTACCCCAGTGGAGACAGGCAGAAGCTTGTGTACCTGGCCATCGAGATATTTGCCCCCCCCCCCCCCCGGGGCAGCCTCTTCTCAGCTTTTCACCTGACAGGAAGTTGTAGGGCCCAGCGACCTGTCTGGAGACCCTGAACCACCAAGCAGCCTGCAGCCTCTTGCCACATCTCAGCAGAAATGGAGAGGCCTCGATCCTCTCCAGATGTGGCGCTTTCTCCCTGTCCTCTGGGAAGGCCCAGTGCTGCCTACTTTGGGTGTGTATGGTGGAGGGAGAAGGAAGTAAGGCAATAGGTGCCCCCTGCTGCTTCACACAGAACAGGAGTCCTGTCCCCAAGTCCAGTTAAGTAGCTAAAGAGCTATCTCAGCCACAAGAGGGATGAGGCAAGGGCTGTCAGAGAGGGGTCTGGGCTTTTGAGCTGACATAGGGACTCCTTTGCTCTGTCTGACCTCTGCCAGGCCCTGCACAGCATCAATGGATCTCAGTGTTTGTTAACAAAATACAAAGATCTCAACCCCCCTCTAGCTTCTCCTAGCAACATCTGCGTCCTCAGAAACCTCTGGTCATTCCCTTTCCCCGCCCCCAGGCTGCCCTGGCACCACAGTGGCTACCATGCTGGCATCTCTGGCCCTGGGGCTTGTCATTCTCCCCATGGACTTCCTGGTTCCTAGTTTTTTTGCCAGCTCCTCCCCACAGTGCGTGACCTTTCCAAGTCTTCCCTCCTGCTCCCCGCCAGCACCCTCTTTGAGGAGCAAGAACTTAATCTGTTGACAGAGCTACACCTTTCCACAGCAGGCTCAGATCTCTCTGCTCCCTGTGACCTTTGCATTTGCCCTGCCTCCCTTCTCAGGAGCTCTAGTGACAGGGGAGGTTTCAGCTGGGTTCCTCCTGCTGCCTCCTCAGGACATCCTTGGCTCCACCCCTTTCCTTCTCCCAAAGGCTGAACCAGGTGGCCAGAGAGTGGGCCCAAAGCTGATCAGGGGTAGGGAAGGGTGACCATGTCCCATGTTGGTGGATCCTGACATTCCAAGGCCAGCCCTCTGTCATCTGATACATCGCCTTCTCACAAGGTATGTATCAGCACTCTAAGAGCTAGGAAACTGGAGGAGGAAAAGAATGAAAAGCACCCTACCCCTAAAGCAGCGGTTTTCAACCTTTTCATTTCATGGCACACACAAACGAATGACTAAAATTCTGTGGCACACGAAAAAAAAATATTTTTTGCCAATCTGAAAGAAAAAAAAAGGTATAGTTTTGAATCATTCACACTGGACGGCTATTGTTGTGTTGGCTGTTGTCAGATTTTTATTTGACAACTTCAGGGAAAAGAGGTCAGTGGCCCTGACTAAATAGTCAGGTATTGCATGTTTTTAAAAAGTCCTTGCAGCACACCGGCCGCCTGGGTAAGGGAAGAACAGGACGGGGAGGAGGGGAGGAGTGTGTTTGGCACTGGCCTTGCTCCAGGATGGGTGGCAGGAGGGAATGTCCAGGTCAGCAGCCTAGGCTCCTGGCTATAAATAGCCCCCCCCCCCCCCCCCCAGGGTCTCAGCCTCCTGTGTGGCAGCACCTGGCACATAACTAGCGCTGGCAGCACTGGGTTAACCCTCTTATTCCCGGCCTAACCAGCGAGGCAGGCTCCTCTCAGGGCCCAGCTGCTGAGCATTCACATTCTTCCCAGTGAAAAAAAGTCACCCCAGGTCTGGCTGGCCCAGTGAGGGGCACTGGCTGAACACAGGAGGCCAAAGTGGGGCAGACGGACCGTCCCCTGCCCTCAGCAGCAGCTGCCACCTTGTTCAGAGTCACTTTTGCCTGCTGTTGTTCCCTCCACAGTTACTGAATCTAAGGCCTTCAAATCAGGCCTATTTGTCTACCCAATAAAGTGTGTTTTTTCCAGAAACGAGTTGGGAAGGTGCTTCAGCGCATTGTGGCAGTTTGTATGTTTTCATTTATTCCACAAGGAAACGGGAAAAAAGAAAGCCCTCCTTGTCCAGCTGGCTGGTCAGTGGTGAGCACTGACCTATGAACCGGGGGGTCAGGGCTCCATAGGGCAAGTGCCCGGTTGCGGGCCCAGTCGGGGGCGTGCAGGAGGCCACCCATAATGATGATTCTCTCTCATTATTGATGTTTCTATCTCTTTCTTCCTGACCTTTCCTCTCTGAAATCAATAAAAATATATTTAAAAAAAAGAAGGAAGCTCTCCTCGATATTCCCAGCTGCTCCCTGCCCCTAGCAGGGCCCGCGCCATTCTCCTGCCCCGAAGGGCACCCTCCCCTCCCCTCCCCAGAGCGCCTTTGGGACTTCATGGCGCCCGGGCGAGCAGAGAGGTCACCAGCGGAGAGGCCACACGGGGCAGAAACAGTCCTCGTGCCCACTCGCTGGCCCTGGCCGGACTCGCGGCCTCCTCGGCGGCCCAGGCCTCACGGTGCGGGTCGGTTTCCTACCTGAGCTTGGCCGCCGGGTAGAGGGCAGCTCCAGGCTCGAGGGGGCGCGAGGTTCAGCTCCGGAGGGCGGACCCGGGGAACCCCCTCGCGCCCGGAGACTTCACTGCGCCGCAGGCTGGGGATTGGCTGACTGACTGAGCCCGCGAGAAAGACCGTCTTTTCTTTCGTGACTGAGTCTCCTAAAAGTTCAGTTCCAGAGTGTGAGTGACCAAAGACCCTCTCTCATGGAGAATGACTACAAGCCCCAGAATCCAATGGGCCTCTCGGAAGGGAGGCTCGTCTGAGGATGCGTAGTTTGCGTGGCCGGGCCGGAAGCCGGAAGTTCAAGGACGGCACCCAGCCTGGGCGGCGGGCGGCGCGGCTCCCGCCTCAGAGTCCGGCACGCGGTGCGCTCTCTCTGCGTTGGGAGTCGTATTCTAGAGGGTAATTGGGTGGGTGGGTGGGCGGGCGGGCGGGAGGAAGGGTGGCTTTTCTGACCAAGAGCACCTCAGTGTCTAGGGTTGTTCCTGGGCCGCCACTCTTGTGTCGGGTGCTGCGTCAGGCTGCGCGCTCTGTGCTGGCGAGACGCGGCCAGTGGAGGCCTCGGTTGGACGGGAGGGAGCTGCAACACCCAGGTACGCCGTCTGCTGGGGAGAGCTCAGGCGCGCCAGTTCGGCGGCCTGTGCTGACCGCATCCTCCGTGCCCTTGACGTCACCGGTGTATCCTGCACCGCGGACGAGGCGATTTGCACTGCATCCAGCTCAACAAGCTCCTTGCAGGTGTAGGTCCTGCCAAACCTTGACTCCAGCGGGGCTCTTGGCCCTCCGCGCTCCGACTCTAGTAGTTCTGACCTTGGGGGGTCAGCGTTCCTGGCCCTGCTGGGGTCCTGGCTAAGAATTTGCTTTTTACTTAATGACTTCCAGTTTAGTGCACTAAATTTTTACTCGAGGTTTACCTGTGACCTAGTCATCTATTCCCATCTGACCAGCCTTCAAGGCACATAACTTTGCAGTTGTGGTTCCCAATTTTCATTCTGGCCCAGTACACCTGAAAAATGCAGCACGCTTCCGTCAGTGGCAGTGACTTGATGCAGCAGAGACTTTCAAGCAGGAAGAGGGATATAGTTAAATGAAAAAGCCCCCCCCCCCCCCCGAAATATTTGGCATGTTCTACCTGCTTTCCCTAATGATTTTGCTTCTTCAAACTGGTGTTTCCTTGGCTTCTCTCTCTGGTCTTATCCTCTGCTTTGGTGTCACTTGTTACTTCCCAGGAGCTGTCCCGATTTGCATATCCATCTGCCTGATAGACATCACCACCTGAATGTTGTGCTGAGCGTCTTAATTTTAAGGTGTCCAAAACCCAGCTCATGATCTTCTTGACTGACAGTGCGACCACCACCCTGGTGCACACACCTGTTTCTTCTTCTTTGTTAACAGTGTCCCAATGGACAGTTTCCGAACTTGGAGATATTTTCAGCTTTGCCCTAATCCATTCAGTTAATAAATCTTTTTGAACTTCTGCATCTGTCTTCTTTTCTACATCCTGTCTTAGCTCAGGTATGTGAAGAGTTTTTTAAAATTTGAAAATAGGAACAGTCTTAGGTTGGATTAGACAAGTGAAGGAAGTGAGATTCTTAGATACCAAAATCATGTCTATTAAGTCTTCTGTCACTCTTTTAGCCAAGTTGTACCATCTTGTTTCTTGGCTAGTGAATGCTTCCAGCCTTCTTCCTTCAGCTCCTCAAAGTGGTTAGCATCTGGCCAGGGTTATGGGGAATATGAGGGGAAAGAAGTAAGGGGGAGGTTGAAGGTCTGCAAGTCTCTTAATATTCTGCTCTCTGTATGTGTTTTCTTCAGTCTCACAGCTTGGGGTCCTTTCGAAGCTCAGATAACCTCATCTTGAGATTGTGCCATTTGGTTTTCTTCCTCTGACCTTATTAAGAGTCACTTGGAATTATAATTCAAGGAAGCTATGCCTCAGCTCAGCTTGGGGTTCACCTTCAAGGACTGGCTCTAAGGAAATGTTCAGCCCATAGAACTCACTCGGAGAAGCACTTACATCTCACCCTACTCCTGACTCCCTAAGCCAGCTAATCCTGAGCTTTTCTTCTTCCAAATTCTTGACTTTTAAGAAACGTATTCTCACTAATTTCAGCTAGTCTTTTAATTTCAGTTCCCTCAACAAAGAGGAGTTTAAGAACACATTCATAGTCCCAAACTGAGGAACGTTTTGTTCAGGATGAGAGATTGCCATGCTAGACTTTCTCTTGTTCTCTAGCTCAGAATATCCAGGGAATGGTTAAATTAGAAGTAATTTATCTCATCCAAATGTGAGTTAACTCCGTTTCTTTTTAGCCGTTGGGATAGGTGCTTTGTGTTGTGTTTGGAACTTAGAATTAATGCTGTGGAAGGTTGGCACTGTTTCAGGAATATTATGGCTTAAACAGATGCTTGAGGTCTAACCTGGGAACCTAACCACTGTGAGTAAGATTGTTTTTATGGGAAAATAAATTGGATATTGCCTAGAAGGTTCCCATTTGATCTCCTGAGAATAATTTACTGCTAATGTTTAATCCCTGGCTACCTCCATTAATTGCTCGTTAGTCAGAAAAACTGATGCATGCTTAATGTACCAGTTAACATTTCTGGGTGGTCCGTACCAGTCACTTCTTTCCAAAAACATGGAGGGTGAGGTGTTAGCTGTGATGTCATTCAGATTCACCTGGTTCCAGCTGTGTGTCTGTGTCTCATGTAGATTTTATTTGCCCTTTTGAAACTTAGAATTCCCAAACGTTGTCTTCCATTGTAAGACTCTGCATCCATGTAGGGGCCATTCAATAGAGTAGACAGACTAAGCAAGGTGCACAAGTTATGGAATGGCTTTAAACAGGGAAGTGGGCTGGGCACATGAGACCTATCCGGGTGTCTAAATTCAGTCTTTCTTTGTAGGGGACGACATGCCAACTGCCAAGCAACTAGCTGACATTGGCTACAAGACTTTCTCCACCTCCATGATGCTGCTTACTGTGTATGGGGGCTACCTCTGCAGTGTTCGAGCCTACCACTTTTTCCAGCGGCGCAGCTCCCGGCGCCAGGCTGCGGAAGAACAGAAGACCTCAGGAGTCCTGTAGAACTGGGAGTCCTGTAGAACTGGGGGGCTCTTTTCCTTGACCAGAGGCCTGAGGCATGCTGTGGAAAGAGCTCACCTACAATCATCCAAATCAAGAGAACCAGGGCCTTAATGGTTTTCAAGTCCTGCTGGGGATAAGTGCCCATGTTTTCTCTGGAACTGCCAGTTTAAGGAGGCTATCAAATCGTAACAGGAATTGGGGCAGGGGGAGGCACATGCACAGACATTAAATATTTTGTCATGTGTCTGTGTCTTGGTGTTTTTGTTTATTTTAATAGGCTACGGACCACAGAGGTGGGCCCTTAACTACCAGTTTTCTAGTCATAGACTGGATTTCCACGATCTTGAGCTCTTAATACCCATGAAGTGGGTATTACACAGTTTTAGGAGTATATATCAACTTTCATGACCTCAGAGAAATGACTGTCCTAGCAGCTGTATAAATCCCCCGAAAATTCAACTAAAGACCAGAGCTCTTTGGTCAATGACCATTTCTGCACCAACTACTGTGTCCAGGTAATGGGATACTCTGGCCAGCATTTAAGGAAGGCAGAGGCCCTTGTTTAACAGTCCTCTCAAAATTGCACCAAGTGAGGAGGCTCAATTCCCAAAAGGAAGGGTTGTTGGGCAGCCTATAGTAATACAGTTCATCTCCTTAAGTTCATTGGGTGTAGTGTTAGCATAAGGGTCGATTTCTCACTGTTCCACTGTACAGGAAATCAAACCTGCAGGTCTTATTATAGAGCTGTGAAGAGGATTTGAAAGAAAACTGTATTCAAGGTAAAACCCAACTATGAAGAGAGGTATTGTTACCACCATTCCATTTTGAGCTTTGAGATTTACTAGTTCATGTCCTTGGTGATCACCCCAAATATCAACCTCCATGGACACCTTTCCTTTTTCATGCTCTTGTGCATATTGCTCTGACCTTTGTCCCTCCTAAACCTTTCACCTAAAAGCCCTTTTCCATGATTAAAAAAACTGAGCTTTAGTCCTGGCCAGTGTGCTCGGTGGTTAGAGCATCAGCCTGTGCACAGAAGGGTCTTGAGTTTGATTCCCAGTCAAGGTCATGTACTTGGATTGCAAACCCTAGCCCAGTCGGGGCCCGTGCAGGAAGCAACCAGTTGATGTGTCTCTCACATCTCTCTAAAAATGTATGGAAAAATATCATTGGGTGAGCATTAACAACAACAAAAACACAGCTTAGCCCTGACCAGGTAGCTCAGTTGGTTAGAGTGTTGTCCCATACTTCCTGGTTGTGGGTTCAATCTCTGATCAGGCACATACAAGAATCAACCAATGAATGCAATGCATAAATAAGTGGAACAACAAATCAATGCTGCTTTCTCCCTTCCTCTCTAAAATCAATAAAAAAAAACCCCAAAACCACCCACCTTTCCTACATTCTCAACCCTTTTACTCCCATCCTCTCTTGGTGTATTAACCAAGGACTCTACTGCCTTTTCTGCTTTCTCACATGTACAGTTAGGGTCACCATTCTCTCAGCTGTCCCCTGTGCCACTTTCAAAATAGTACAAAATCAGTCTTGAGGCGATTTCTTACATTCTCATTTCCATTCTATTCTAGAACTTGGAGACTTCAAATTGTTTGACTCCTTTAATTTTACTCCAATCTGTCAGTCCCTTATTGGCCTAAACTTCTTTCCTGTCCAGCCTATGCCCATAGTTGGTCCCCTAAACAACTTCCCTGCAGTCCCTGCCTCCATCCTTAGCCTTCTTAATTCTACTGCTTGCTCCTTTAGTTATCTCTTCTCAGTGTATAAACTTGCTTAAGGCCCTCCACCCCCAACCAAAACAAACTATGAAGATTATTTCAAGAGAAGTCTCACATGGTAGCACTTCTGAAACTTGAAGTTCCTTCCACCTCCACCACTTCATTGAAATTCCGTCAACATCCCCTCCATTGTGCCACATCCACTGATGATTGCAGTCCTCCCCTTACTGTTTCCTGAGGCACTAAAGCTCTACTTTGGCTGCAGGAAGGGACCTCTATCTTGTTCCCTTTTACCACTTTGATTTTTCCTTTTCATTTCCTCTGCCCACTTTAAACACTAATGTATTATAAAATTTTGTTCTTGGCCTATTGCTCTTATTTTGTATTTTTCTCAGTTAATCTAGGTAATTAATGGTTCTAACATTACAGAATGTAGTTAGGTGCTCAGTGCTGGTATCTTGGCTCCACCATTATAGCTATCTGGTAATTGGCCAGTTATTAACTCTTAACTCCCCAGTTTACCTTTGTCAAATGGGGATAAAAAAATAATTCCTAAAAGATTAGTTTGAGTATTAAATAAGATAATTCATATTGAGTATTTAATATTCTGTCTGGCACATGGTAAGCACACAGTATCAGCCATTAATGCCTACTGCTGACCTCCAAGTCTGTATCTTACAGGTTGACTTGAGTTTTAGGTACATCCAATTGCTTGATATATCCACTTGAATTTCCTATACTTCTAACTTGACAGGTCCACAACTAACAGCATTCTTTCTCATCTCCAGGACTTACTTGTGGTTTCTCCCTATTTTAGTGAATGACACTATCATCCAAGTCAGAAATATGGGAGACTTATTAGACTACTAGAGGCCCAATGCATGAAATTTGTTCATGGGTAGGGTCCCTAGGCCCGGCTGGTGATCAGGGCCAATCAATGGGGTGACTGGCGGGATGATGGGAGTGGGGGGTGCTGGTACCCACCTTGGCTGGCCTGGTGCAGCCCTGCCCCCCTGCTGCTGCACCGGTCACCTCCTTCTGCAGGGTGACTGGCAGGGTAATGACCCCTCCCCCCCCATCCACCTTGGCTGGCCTGGGGGCAGCTCCTGTGTTGAGCGTCTGCCCCCTGGTGGTCAGTGTGCATCATAGCCACTGGTCATTTCACCAGCTATTTCACTGTTTGGTCAATTTGCATATTAGGCTTTTATTATATAGGATTCCCTGCACTCTAATCCAAACCAGGTACTATTAATTTTTACCATTTAGATATCCATTTAATCAATTCTACACTTATAAATTCTTGCTTATTCCTTTTTTCTAAGAGAGGAAAGGAGAAATATCAATTTGTTTTCCACTAATGCATTCCTTGGTTGATTCTTATATGTGCCCAGACCGGGGATTGAACCCACAACCTTGGCGTATTGTGATGATGCCTATACTCTCGCAGGTTTTTAGTGGTCTTGGTTCCAGTCTTGACCTCATCAGATTAATTTGCCACATTTCCATCAGAGACATCTATTGGAACAAATTTAATTATGGCATTCCCCTGCTTTAGATCGCCTCTAAAGCTCAACCATAGACAATAGGTTAAAGAATCCCTGACCTATAGGGTCAAGTCCAGACTCCTCAGTATTGCATATGAGGTCCTTAGAGCTGACCCGCCTCATCCTTTGTTCTAGTAATATCAAACTGCCTGACTCGTTGCACAGTTTCTTGTTTTCATGCCTGTTCATGCTTCTTTCTGAATAGAACATCTCTACCCACCTCCCTATCCTCTCTTTTTCTAAAAAGGTTTCTGTGACCCTTCCCCTTTCCATGCTGAGCCTAGTGTCTATAAAAGATAACACTTTTCATCCTAACTGGTTTGGCTCAGTGGGTAGAGTGTCAGCCTGCAGACTAAAGGGTCCCAGGTTTGATTCCGGTCAAGGGCATGTACCTTGGTTGCAGGCACATCCCCAGTGGGGAGTGTGCAGGAGGCAGCTAAATCGATGTTTCTCTCTCATCGATGTTTCTAATTCTCAATCCCTCTCCCTCTCTGTAAAAACTAAAATATATTTATAAAGAAAACACTTTTCATATAAAATTATCTTTTTAAAATTGATTTTAAAGAGAGAAGATAGAAAAAAACCCACATTGATTTGTTGTTTCACTTACTAGTATGTAGGGGCCCACTGAGAGCCATCTCATTAGCATACAAAAAACATAATTATCACTCTGGAGATTCCAAGGTCTTAGAAGCTCTTTGCCAAAAATCTAGGATAAAGATGAAATACCTATCTGCAGACTTTGAGTAAAGCAAGTTATTTTCTGTAATGTGAATGGGCCTCATCTAATCAGCTGAAGGCCTTAAGAGCAAAGACAGGGTTCCCAGAAAGGAATTATGCATCAAAACTGTAACACAGAAACTGCCCGAAGTTCCAACCTGTAGATCTTGGATGCAACACAACTCTTCCCTGAATTTCCAGCCTGCCACCTGCTTTACAAATTTCAGACTTGCTAGTCCTTACAATCGTATGAAGCTCGTCTTTAAAATAAATCAGTCTCATTCTTTTTTAAAAAAGTGTTTTTATTGGTTTTTAGAGAGAAAGGGAGAGGAAGAGAGAAACATCAATGATGAGAGAGAATCATGGATTGGTTGCTTCCCACATGCCCCCCACTGGAGATCGAGCCCGCAACCCTGGCTTGTACCTTAACAGGAAATCGAACGGGGACCTCCTGGTTCATGGGTTGATGCCCAACCACTGAGTCACACTGGCTGGGTGAAATCAGTCATTCTTGCTCTCTCCAGGGGTAGGGAATGTCCAGCCCAAGGGCTGTATAAGGAAGGCCCTCGAAATCATTTGGTCTGGCCCTGCCAAGGCATTAGGGGTGAGTTGAAAATGGTTCCCTGCACCTGCGTGAATCTAACCTATTGGTTCTGTTTTTCTGGAGAACTCTCATACAGTAGATAATGCCAGTGTACATCTGTCCAGTCTTGTTTCCTGGCCTAGGTTCCAGCCCGTCCCTACCTCCAATTGTCTAACAGTCATTTCCACTTAGAGCACCTACAGACATTTCAAATATAGCTTGTGAAAACCTAAATTCAAGGAGTTGTGTAGTATTTACTGAGCACGAACTAGCTGTAGTTAGTAAGAAAGAATAGACATATTTGCTGTCAAATTAAAATGAATATAATCAAGTTCTTCAGTTATTACAGTAAATATCAACTGAATTCTCCCATTAAAAGACAAAGACTAGTAACAGAATAGCTAAAAAATAAAAGTCGTGTAGTTTCTAATAAACAGCTAATAAATCACCCCCAGACAGCAAAGCCGTGATGCTGCCAAAAAGTTTAGTATTGTTGCCTAGATGGCTTTCATAGAGCACTCATTTGAGTGAAAGCAGATTCCAATTTGCCTTTTTTTGTAGGTCTACGGCTGTGGTTAAAATCTTGGAGGCCTGCCCTAGGAGAGACCGTACTGAACTAGAAGAAAAATAAATGTATGCAGATGACTGAGGTGAAGGTGGTACA